AATTTGGAAATTCGGAAAATTTATCAGGGACGACGGTTAAATTTGGAAATTCTTAAAATTCGCAAGGAAGAGTTTTTTATGTGTACTTACTGCAACAATCACTCGCTTCACGTGGGTGAAATAAAGATTATTGGAAAAATCAAAATTATTGAAAACTAGAAAATTACTGAAAAATCGTAGATTTAAAATTGGGAGTACAATTGCGACAGACGAGGATTCTGGAATTCGTCAGATTTCATGATATATGTACATATATTGGGAAACTCTTGGGAATTTGTAAATTTGGAAATTTGGAAATTCGGAAAATTTATCAGAGTCACATTTTTGCAAGTTTTTAAAGTGGACGATGGTTAAATTTGGCAATTCTTAAAATTCGCAAGGAAGAGTTTTTTATGTGTATTTACTGCAACACTCGCTTCACGTGAATGAAATAGAGATTATCGGAAAATTCGAAATTACGAAAAACTAGAAAATTACTGGAAATTACTGAAAAATTATATACAAGTTTACTTCGATTTAAGAAGTAATCCGAGATGATTAAAATAACAATATAAATACATATATAATAATAATATGTATAATATAAATATATATAATAATAAAATAACAATATAAATATAATAATAAATACTGAATAATATATATAATATAATAATAAATATAATAATATTAAATTAATAATAAATATAATAAATAATGAATATATCAAATATTTGTTTAAGAATGAACATGTTCTTGCTTCGTTATATGTTCTCCATTCATTGGAATTTTTCTTCGTTACCAAATCTTGAAGATTGAAGTCTTTACATCGATTCAGCAAAACTTAATGTTCGACATTATCTTATCGAATCTTGCGCGTCAGAGTTAAACGAATAAAAATTCAAGGAATCCTAATGTTTTCCCATTTGAACTTTACCGTTCAAGATTCGATAAAGCGGCGAGAAAAAATATCGTACAGCAGGTTTCAAGAGATCGTTGTAAAGATGAAAGAGAAGAATTTTTTATCGTTTCTGGTGACATTTGAAGTCTTACAATTTTCGAGTACGAATGCATCTTTGCCTTCTCACTTGTTGCATGATGTACTTGAAAACAACTTGAAGAAAAAAAGAAAAAAAGAAGTAAGAAAACTAACGTCAAAATAGAGACGTCTTTACACTTCAAAATGAGGCCAACAGGACCGCTCTATGACTTTTCTTTCATGAAACTATAAAAGACAATTCTACATCGAACGTGCCAACACTTTCTGCAGAAATGATCAGAATGGAACAGCTGATCAAAGTTTCCGTCCGCAGATTATTCGCAGGTGCAGGAACTCGCGGAGATCAAGACAAAATAACTTTATTAATCCTCGTGACACTTAACACCGTTAAAATTCGTCGCAACGATTAGAACGCCCTTGAAACATTCCATCCTTCGCGTTTCTCTTCCTCTCTAGTCGTACTCTGCTCCGATCGTGATGCTCATCTCCTCGGAGACGATTGTCGTTTGGTGGTACCAGCGATTGGTATCCAGGACAACTGCACGACAGATTAATTAATTAATTAGCAAATTCGACGATCGAGAGATGTGGAGACTTTCTTACTTATCTCGCCGGGATGCACCACAACTTCCAACGCGTTGCAAGCGTAATGACACTCTCTGGGTGGCTCCAGGGTCCACAGTTTCTCACCCTTGATCTGAGCCTGCCACGATGGATGCTCCACGTCGTCCACCTGAAAGGAAAAATTTATTCGAAGGTGAAAAATTTATTAAAACTGCTTCGATAAATGATTGTTCGACGTGTACCCACGTGCATAGGGGCGCCATAACCGTGGCTGCCCATAAAAATCCAATCGGTCTTCTCGGACTCTGCTGTGACAGGCAGAAAGTACGGCCTTTGATAGTGTTTTCTGAGCACGCTGCCGATTTCCTCGTCGCAGTTACTCCTTTAATTCAAATTACGATCTTATTAACACACTGTATTGCTATTTATTTGTTTCTTTTTTTTTTTTTTTTTTATTGTACGTTTTGTTGACTGAAATTTGGGTATTTTTATACAGGGCAAAAAGTCATTTCAGTCTGTACCATCTAAATTTAATTCTGCGTGTATAACTTTTTAACCAGTTGATATTTGAAAAGAAAAATGTAGAAGTAGATTACTTCTAAATGTTTGAACTTGGAAATCCAGCATTCTAGTCAGTGTTCCGCATTCAAACGGATAAATTATATATTAAATAAATATCGTCATTAACAAATGAATATAATGAAATAAAACTTATTTAATAATATTAAATAAATATAATAAAAGTAATATAATATTGATAAATAATATTTATTTAATAATAATAAATATAATAAAAGTAATATAATATTGATATATAATATTTATTTAATAATAATAAATAAATATCGTCATTAATAAATAAATATAATAAAAGTAATATAATATTAATAAATAATATTTATTTAAGAATATTAAATAAATATCGTCATTAATAAATAAATATATAAATATATATGAAATGAAATATATAAATATATATCGATATTATACAAAAAAGTCTTATATAAAAGGCTATTAAAAATTATTACGTTATTATAAATTTATTGTATAAATTTTATATTATAAAATTATTATTAAATAATTGTTATTATATTATTATTGCTATTATGTTATATTAAATTATTGTTGTTATAAAATTATTGTTAAAATTATTATACTACGTGAACCACTAATGACCCAAAAATGGGAGATTATAAATTGTAAGAACTAATCTTCCCTTTTGTGTACATAAATTAAATGAAATGAAAGAAACAAAAAGTACTTACCAACCGACGTACCACGGCTTCGTCCCTTTCTCCAACAACGACCGACTGGCACTCATCTCGAACACGTCCTGAAGGCTTTTGAATTCGGTTTTGTAGGGGAAGAACTGGCAATTCGCATCCTCTCCGTCGTACAACGATTTGAAGAAGGAAAACGAGAATACTTCCGTCGCCGTCCAGTTGGACATTGCATCGGTGATCACCACTGGCCTTCCAGAGTACGCGTATCTGTTCCTCGAACCGGGATAAAGAGGGATTTCACAAACGTGAAAAATATTTTTAAAAAATTTAACTTTACAACGTGAAAAATATAAAAAAAATTGAATTTTACGAACAGTTCCGTGTATTAAATATAAAAAAAAAATTGAACTTCACAACGTGAAAAATATTTTTAAAAAATTGAACTTTACAAAGAATTCCGTGTATTAAATATAAAAAAAAAAAATGGACTTTACAACGTGAAAAATATTTAAAAAAAAATGAACTTTACAAACAATTCCATGTATTAAATATAAAAAAAAATTGAACTTTACAACGTGAAAAATATAAAAAAAAATTGTACTTTACAAACAATTCCGTGTATTAAATATTAAAAAAAATTGAATTTTATAAAGTGAAAAATATTATTAAAAAAATTGAATTTTACAAACAATTCCATGTATTAAATATAAAAAGAAATTGAACTTTACAACGTGAAAAATATTTAAAAAAAATTGAATTCTACAAACAATTCCGTGTATTAAGTATAAAAAAAAAAACAACGTGAAAAATATATAAAAAAAATTGAACTTTACAAACAATTCCGTGTATTAAATATAAAAAGAAATTGAACTTTACAACGTGAAAAATATTTAAAAAAAATTGAATTCTACAAACAATTCCGTGTATTAAATATAAAAAAAAAATTGACGTGAAAAATATTTTAAAAAAATTAAACTTTACAAACAATTTCGCGTACTAACGAAGTGAATCGAATAGAACAGAAGATGGTTAAAGGTTTGATTCGAAAAAAAAAAGAAAGAGAAGGTAAATGGGGCAACAACGATCCGCAAATGCGAATTCGAGCGATTAGGTGAATTGAACGAGCCAGTACCGTTCCTCGAAAATGGCAGGATCCACGTTGGATATCCTGTCAACCTGTTGAACGTCCCGGCACATCGAACAGTCCTCGGCTGGCCGGAATATTTTCTGCGCGAACGACGGCAGCTCAGCCAGGCACTTGAAAAACATTCTAGCCTTAATAAAAATCGGCCTGCCAGCTCTAAAAGCTCTAAAAGCTCTAAAAATATTCTATCCTTATCAAAAATCGGCCTAACTAGCTCTAAAAGCCATTTATAAAAAGGGATAATAAAACCCTCTAGTCGACGTTATTGATCGTCCTCTAGAGAGTTTCAGCAGAATACATTTCACCTCATTCTGTTTCATTTTCTCAAATTTTTATTTACACAGCGAAAATTTTGGCCTCGGAGATTTTTCAGATCTTTTAAATTGCCTAAAACAATTGAAAAGTCGAGTGAGAGGAAAGGAAAGATATTAACCAGCAGATGGTTAAATATCATCGATCACCGTCACATAATCGTGACAATTGTGATACAACTTGATTCCTCGATGCTCGAGTTTTGTAATCATTTAATAAAAATCCATCGACAGTTCTAGGGATCATTTATAAAATGAGAAAGAGATAAGTAAATTGGTAAATTAGCTTTCGAACAGTGCGATTTAAGACGCTCGTATATTTTATTTATTAAATCTCTGATGAGCGAGCAGAAGAGTGTAAGTCGAACTTTAGTTGAAATAACACAAGCCATCATTTTCAAAAAAAAAAAAAAAAAAAAAATAGTGTGTACTTTGGAGAAAAGAACGATGTTCATCAATCAAAATCTAATATTTGATCTTATGTATATTACGGTTTGAATTTTTCCGTGAAACAATTTTGACTCATGTTCTTTCATCCTTCGATAAAAATAAAAGATCAATGATATTTGATAAAGATCAATGTTTATTCTTCAAGAAAAGATAGATTTTTTTTGAAAAATGTCCAAAGATCGATTGATCGAGAAACTTTTAAATGAAAGCAGAGAATTAAAATTAATTGATGGTAACAGAACAAAAGTGAGAAAGAGAACTAAAAATTCTCTTTCATTCATAATAAGAATACAATTAATGTAAAAATATGGATGCAAAAATTCTCTAAAAATCGGTTTATTCAAAAAAAAAAAAAGAAAATTAAACGTGTTTAAAAAGAGAGGTACAAAATTAAAAATTACTACATTAAACAATAATATAATTCAAGAAAAGAGTGAGATATAAACAACAAGGATGAATCTGTTTCAAAGAAAAATTAATTGTAAAAATAAAACCTGTTAATTAATTTTAGAATCTATTTAAAATCTGTTTAAAAAAAAAATAAATAAACATGTTTGAACAAGATTAAAAATTACTACATTAAACAATAATATAATTCAACAAAAGAGTGCGATATAAACAACAAGGATGAATCTGTTTCAAAGAAAAATTAATTGTAAAAATAAAACCTGTTATTAATTTTAGAATCTATTTAAAACCTGTTAATTAATTTTAGAATCTATTTAAAACCTGTTAATTAATTTTAGAATCTATTTAAAATCTGTTTAAAAAAAAAATAAATAAACATGTTTGAAAAGAGAAGAACAAGATTAAAAATTACTACATTAAACAATAATATAATTCAAGAAAAGAGTGAGATATAAACAACAAGGATAAATCTGTTTCAAAGAAAAATTAATTGTAAATAAAACCTATTAATTAATTTTAGAATCTATTTAAAATCTGTTAAAAAAAAAAATAAAATAAATGTGTTTGAAAAGAGAGGAACAAGATTACTATATTAAACAATAATATAATTACTATATTAAACAATAATAAAGATTACTATATTAAACAATAACATAATTGAAGAAAAGAGTGAGATATAAACAACAAGGACGAATCTGTTTCAAAGAAAAATTAATTGTAAATAAAACCTGTTAATTAATTTTAGTATCTATTTAAAATCTATTTAAAGAAAATATAGAAAACAAATTAAAAGGAAATCAGACGCAACAACAGAAAATTCACAAATAAACAATAGCAACAACAAAAGGAAGCATAAAGACCGAAAATCATTTACCAAAAAAAAAAAAAAAAAAAAAAACAGCTCGATCGATTTTCTTAATTTTTCCTTTTTTTCAGATGTAGATGAGAAGGATCGTGGCATACCTTGTCGTAGCGAACGGTGTGCATGTAATTCCAAAGGAATTGGCCGAGAATCCACGCGAGGATCAGCAGGATCCACAGGTGTTTCCTGGGGAGTTTCGAGCCACCGTGTCTGAGGAGGCATTGAGCGCGAAACAGTTTCACAGACCTGCTTGAAAGGGTTGCCGTTTCCTCGATCCTCGCCACTATCGAGCGTAGCTCCTTCTTCGCGTGCTCGAACGACTTCCTCGAAGACTCGCTGGTCACTTTGTTACTGTTCACGTCCGTCATGACATGAAACAAATCGCGGTCACTGTGTCGCGGGAACTTTCGAAGATTCGTGCAGCAATCACCGGAGTTTGATTGTCGGCTCCTCTCCTAGCAGCAGAACTAAGTTCAAGCTCTCGTGTTTTCAACTCTGCGCGCTCGAAACGTTTTTAATCTTGCGAATTCAGAACTTGAAAGACCCTCGATTTCAAGGTATCGAAATTCTCGTCTGCAGCACTGGCTCACTCGGTGATGGAAATTACTTTCGTCGTTGTCTGACTTTTTTTTTCTTTTCGATTGCGAATGTGTTTAAACTGACTTTTCTCAAGGACTTCTGATGGTCTTGATGGTCGACGTAGAACTGTGCCAGAACTCTTTCACGAGGCGAAGGACACGATTGCGCACGGGGGGGGGGGGGGGGCGAGGGGGGAGGGGGCAGGCAGGAGGATGATGCGAGCACGGGGGTGTGAAATGAACGAGAATCTGGGCTGCCGATTGATTGAAACGAGATCTGCTCGAACTGGAAAGGGGGATCGAAACAATTTCTCCGTCCAATTTCTACCCACTGACAAAGAATCTCTACAAAAAAAATAGCACGCGAAAGAACAGCTGGAATGATCAACTTTTTTATTCTAATCCTTAACGATTTGATGGGAAAGGTGAATGACGAGAGAATGAGGAAACGCGTCACTATAATTTCTGCCCGATTTCTTGACCCGTTAAGGACCTGATTAATCGTTATAATTTGCAATTATTTTAAGTAAATTTATGATATCTTTCATTCAGTGTTGACCTCGTATAGTATTTTTTTCATTATATCGCCCAGATTCCAGAATTTTATAATATTTTTATAATATTTGAAGAAATTGAATTTATAATGTTATGATAAATCATTGGCTTGGTCCTTAATTTAATTGAATTTAAAAAATTATTCTTCCTTTTCTTTCCTTTCTGAAGTACTTTGAAAACCATCAGTTATCAGTGCAAGTTATTTAAGTTTTAACTCTGTTTTTGTGAATATAAAAAGATTGATGTCATTCAAAAATATGAAATAATAATGTCTAGTTGTACTGTAAATTGTACTTGAAAAAAAAAATTATAAAAGATACCGCATTAAAAAATTGTATAAAGAAGATATTATATAATTATATGTAAAGAAATCTTATATAAAAAAGACTATTAAATTATTAAAAATTTTTAATAAATTATTAAAAATTTTTACATTATTATATCATAAAATTATTTTATTTTATTATAATAAATTGTACTAGAACTGTAAACTGTAATTGAACAAAAAATTATTAAAAATAATACATTACAAAATTGTATGAGAAAAAAATTATATTATTGAAATAGGTTGCAGTAAAACTACAAATTATAATTGACAAAAAATTATACAAAAAATAATATATACATAAATTTATATAATATATAATATTATTATACAATTATATTTATATAATTTTTGTAATATTCAATACTATATTACAAAAATTACATAAAGTATTTGTTCAGTGTAATTGACAAAAAAATGATAAAAAATAATATATTATATACATAAATTCATGTAATAATATATAATATTATTATACAATTATATTTATATAATTTTTGTAATATTCAATACCATAGTACAAAAATTACATAAAGTATTTGTTCAGTGTAATAAAGTATACCAATACAAACATGAATTCTAATCAAAGTAGGAGGGGCAGATGAAGATATATTTGATCTAAACGCACCATAATTGGAGCTGCTATTTTTCGTTTCGCGACGCCATGAAGATTTTCATTTTGCTGGAAGTGAATATGATTGAAAATAAAAAAGAAATACGAACCACGTTAAAATGGCGCTCGAGCAGATCACTCTTCGACAGAAATGTGTGTCGCTGGTTTCTTATCACATGGAGCAGGTAGTGGTGCTCACCGAGCCGTGAGGATTTTCTTGTTAAAATACAATCATCGAGAGCCAACCTTTATCGCTTGCTACCATTTCTTTAACGCGACCGCTCCCCTGGCACAAATCCATCGATCCCCTATCAATTTTCAACTGGACCTGTCGTTCACTTCCCTGCCTTTTATTCTATTGCGAAAAAAGTATTTAAAATTCGTCGTTATATCGATTGCATTTGTCTCGCAACACCCGAAATAAAATAAAAAAATAAAAAAAATCCCCATCGTAAGTGGCAAGTTTAAAACAAAAAAAAAAAAAAAAAAAAAATAATGGCACCGAATTAATTTTTTTAAAACGCCACACTTGAAAATCATCGAAATCGGCGAGACGTATCTTCTTGTGAATAATCATCTTCTTTCGTTTCCCTTTCGAATTATTCGCTCGAAAGAAATTCAGTTTAGAAAATGTAGGACGAAGAATGATAATGGCAATATTAAATCAAGTGTAGAATGGACTTCTCGAGTGAGAAACACGCACAAAGGACGATTCTCGTGTAATTGTTACGCGGCGAAAGGGGTTGGCTCCGTTCGACCGCCAAAGGGCCTCGTTTACGATTGCAAATTGACAATCTACGTAGCAATCTGCATCTTCGTTAACGATTATTCCACGTGGAATTGACGTTAGGTTCCCCTTTCTCTTTATCTTTTCGACTGGCTAACGCCAGTTTCACGAGTTTCCTTGGACACGTCGGCGAGTATCCTTTTTCACGAACGAAACGACTTTTTTAAAACTGCTTACCTATTCGAGTAATAACGATGAAAGTAAACGAGTTAAAAAAAATTTTTAAAGTTGTGTAGAAAATATAACAAATATCTCTTTTAAACAGTTCTTCGTTTGAACGTACAGGGTGTCTCAGTTAAAGAGAAAAACTCAGTTTTCATGACATAGTACAATTTGAATGGCTTTTCATCCTTCTTCTGTCAGGATCAATTGGTTTTTGGTATCTTGGAAATGTATTTCTCTCTGTTGCATCTTTTAATAGAATTAAAATTGATTAAATCTTAATTCTGTAAAATCTCTTGCATGAAAAGCAGATCTATACTGTTCTTGCATTTCATTCATGGAGTTTGTAATTTTATAAATTTTGTAAAACTGAAGTTAAACATCTCCTGAACTAATAATTCTTTGACACGTATAGATAATTTTTTTTACAGAGCTACATCGATTGATGAATCAAAAAATACACGTGCACGACTCTACAAAATAAAAAAAAAACTACTAAAACCAAATTTTGACTCTCTCGAAACTATACGTTTCTGTTGTCTGAACTATTTTCTCGTGCAGCAGATAATTTACGAGCAATTCGCATTTATAAATTAAAACTGAACACCCTGTATAATGTATCGTGTGTTAGTTGTGTCAAAAAATATGAAAATCCATCTTGAACCACTCATCTTTCTCCTCTGACATGATCATTTTCTTCCAATTTCGGCCAACAAAAAGAAAATTGTTCATCACGTTCAGTCGTTCGTGTATTTTAAAATAATAAACAATGACACGTGAAATAATTCTTTGCACAGGATGATGAAAAAAAAAAGGCTGCAGCAGCTGGTTTTCAGCGCAATTAAATTCTTTAATTGTTCTCAGTCGGGTTCGAAATACACTAGTCGATTTTTTTTTTTTATCGTTAATAATTATTGTATATACTGTGGTACTTCTCCGTTATAAATAATACGACGTCAATAAAATAATGACAATATGTTTGCTCTTCGTACCCCGTCTTAACAAATTATATATATTTATATATTTATATATTTATATATATATTATATACCTACTTCATTTAGTACTTGCTTGTCGTCGATAAATTGCGTAAAACACGTACGAGTTTAAATAAAAACGGCGATGACGGTGACAATGATCGTGACGATGATGATCTTCCACCGCTGTTTCTCTCAAGGGAGGCGACTGAGGAGAAGCCTTCGAAATTGAAAACGATCTCGTCTATCGTGAACTCAAAGAGGGGGAGGAAAAAAAAAGAAACAGAAATTATCTAAAAAAAAAAAAAAAAAAAAAATCAAATTAATATCATGGAACTCTTTTAATTTTATTTCAAAGAATTTGTTTCCACGAACAATAAAATGAAGAGTAACCTTGAAAAAGGTTAGACCATGGAAAAGATCTCGAGGAGGAGGCAAGGAGGGGGGGGGGGGGAGTAGTTTTTGAAGAAATTGAAGAAAGAAAACAAATTCTCCTCGAAGAAGCGACAACATCCAAAGACTCTCCCCGTCCCCTCCCTCACGTCAGACTACAACGTTTTACAATTAATACTAAATGTGTGGTGAAACTCCTCTAATACATCTAAAATGCACATCCATGCTTATTTAATGCTCCTTTAATTTAAATACGTATGCAGCACTGTAGCCTATCATTTTTTTTCATTTTTTTCTTTTTCCTACTCGTTATGCACGTGTTTGTGTTCACTCTCTTTTTGTTCACACACACACGCGCGCGCGCATTCTCATTTTACTTACTCTCTCTCTCTCGCTCACTCGCTCTATGTGTGTACCTATGCGTGTATATGTGTACGCACGTGTGTATGCATGTGTGTACAATGAAATACGTGTGAAATTCTTCCCCTCTCTTCCGTTTCGCATCCCCTTGAACGTTTTTCGCTCCCGTGTTTCGTCTTTCTCCTCTCTTCTCCCTCTCCCTCTCTCTCTCTCGTTTCTTTTTTTCTTTTTCTTCTCCTTTGACGGTGAAAATTCGAGAATTTCCCTGTGTGTCAACCCACTGGTTCGTTCCGCCGCTGTTGGTTTGCCAACCCCTAGCAAAATGTGTTGCAAAGTGTTCCCCCGTCTCCGTTTCGTTCTTCGTCTTCGCTGTTCATCGAGGTCGATTTTTGATTGGTGCGGTCTGATGGAATCACTCGAGTTTTGCGCTATCAGTCTTCTTTGAGTGATCGGTGACGATGATCGCGGGTGAAGGGTGAATTTTTTTTTGGGGTCGGAACGGCCCGTGAATCGAAATCGATCGTTTGAAAATTGATAGAACGGCGGAATGTTCGGAGTTCAGTCTCGTCAATTTGAGATGGATGCTCGAAATACTCGAGATTCGAAGGGAGATTTTACTTTGAAGATTTTACGAAGGATGTGACGTGTAAGCAGCGACAAATATTTTGGAATACTTAGTATTTAAAGGGAGAAAAAAGAACAAATATCGAGATTTAGAAGAATTTTAAAGATTTCACGAAGAATGATAAATATTTTACTAAATATTCACTATTCAAACACAGTCATTCATATTCAAAAGAAGCTCAAGTTAATCAATAAAATATTTAAATATCAATATTGTAAATTTGATTCAAGCTTGCTTCTGTTAGAATTAGTCAATTATTTTGAAAGAAAAAAATCACTTCGAACATGAATGTCCGATTGACAAACGATATGTTTCCAATTCAAAGGATCGAAATCGATTCGAGATCGGTTCCGTGAGAAAGCAGGAATGCGAACAGCATTTCGATCGCTGTTCGTGGAAAAGACAGCTCCTTAGGCCGGTGAGAATCGTGTAAAAAACGGCGTAAAAATTCGCTAGTAAAACTTCGCGACATCGTATTTAAAAAATTCCGGACGCATCGCTTCTTCCTGTTTCTTTTTTTTTTTTTTTTTTTTTTAGATTTTCTTTTTGACTCGTTTCCTCTTATCTATTAGAAACCGTAGATTGAAACGTTCGTAATACCGTAATTATCGATCAATTAATTGATCTACCATCGGGCCCTCCTTCAAACAATAACTCGTCTCTTAAATAATTTCGACAAATGGAATTTTGAATCTTTTCTTTATAGAGATCAAAAGATTACGAAAAATTGAAATCTTTCAGAAAAAATTCAAGTTCAATTCGCGAGAGGCTTTTTTGATTAAAAAAAAAAAAAAAATAGGATCATATAGAAATTGTATTACGAAATAGCTGTTATAATAAATGCCATTGTTTCGAGGCGTAAAATTTGAAAATTTTTGAACGTCGGGGAAAAAGAAAAACGAAACAAAATATTTTTAAAGATGCCTCGAAATTTGACGATTAAAAAACGAGCCTCGTGCAACGATTCGAACACAAGTCTACGTTCAAGGAATCTGTACAAAAGTCTCTATTTGTATCACATACAAACGCGAACAAAGTTTCCATTCACGAGGCTCGGTTTTAAATACGTGATAAACACGATACTTCGCCGCATAAATTGTACGCATTTACTTAAAAAAAAAAAGTTAACTTCCACGCGAATTAATATTCTACACGATGAAGATCGCCACTAGGTTAGAAACATTGAGAAAAAATATAAATTAATAGCTTGCCACAATTATCTAATTGTATAATTCGACTGAATCATTGACAACATCGAATTGAGTAAAATAAAAACGCTCTACGATCAAGTTTAGCTCTCGAAATGGGAAATGTGGGTCACTGATGATCATCAAAAAAACCACGTAACAAGTATAATAAACACGTTGTAAATAAATATTAAAAATTCCCCGATATAGAAGCATTCGTTTCCAAACTTTAAAATCTCGAAGTAAAAACAAAAATGTCCAAACTCAAGATGAGATCTCGCAAGTTTCCTACGTTTCGGCCACGTGAACACAAATTTCTCGTTTCCACTGGTCAATCCTTCGATCATCCTACGCACTGATACGATCGCACGTTTCCTCTCCCACCCCCCCCCCCTTTTTTTCATTTTTTCTTATTTTTAAATTTTTTTATTTTCTGCGAGCTTCCGTCACTCGAGAAAGACTACCTTTAGAAAAATCCTTCGTCTCCCTCCACCAATGTTCTCTCGCTCGTTAATCATCGTAGAAAATTAGAAACGCTGGTAGACGGAAACAATGAAAAGCGGATATCAAAAGTCTCGGTTCGTCGTTTCGTGTCGATCGTTGGCTCCGTCGATCCACAATCGATCCACTACGCTTTCGAACCGTCGGAGACGATCGCCATTTCGTTTACTTCACCGTCCCTTCTTCCGCTCGTGCGACGCGAGAATCGAAACATCAATTTCATTTTTGTCTCTGTCTGTTCGCACGATCGATCGACCAGAATTTTAAGAAACCCCTCCGTGTGGAAGAAAGACTAGAAAAGAGAGAAAAAAAAAAAAAAGAGCTCGCAAGATTGATCGACGATGTCACGGCCATCTGGAATTTACTCGATACGTCGGCAACACGAAACTTGTCGATTGCAAACTTCGTCGGATCGCCGGGAATGCTCGAGAGGCTTGACTCGATTTCCGGTAAACTTCAGGATGGTAATTCGTCGGAGACACGAGCGAAGAAGGGTACGGAAGATCCGTCGGAGCCGTGCGTGTCACATTGAGCGGAATGGTCCAAGGTCCTCTAAGAGGTTCTCGCGGAGGATCTGCTAGCAGTCCGAACGATAAGCTCGAAGGGGTGCCCCTCTCGTCTCGGCGAGAGGCGCGGTTCTCTGGCCCGTTATCGGCTCGATATCGTGATACTGATCACGATCACGATCACGCGCTCGTTTCTGTTCGCGATCGTGTTACGCGGATCATCGTAATAATACTGCAACACTGTGGCCAGTGACGTAAAACACTCGGTGTATACTCGAACGTGTTTCGTCGTAATCAATCGGTACGCTCGATTTCATCCGATCGTCGGTCAAATACTTATTGGCGATAGAATCGATGGGCGCGATGGGCCCCCAGATATTGCGATATCTTTCATTCGGAAGTGTTTGTACAAATGTTGCGTGATATATTATTAAGTTCATGGTGTCGAAACATTGTCACAATATTATCGATGATGTTACCGATCGTTCTTCCGTGGTAACAGAAACGATCGTGTGAGACTTTTCGTTCGAATCCTCCTGGAGGAGGATCCTGACGCGGCAGAGTTAACGACGATACGGTGCTTCTGCTACTTCCGGTGGCACGTCGACGATCGTTGGAACCACTGTTCCTCCTCGTTTTCATTCTCCTTTTTTATTCACTGGTTTATCCTTTCGATTCGATCTCGTCGCTCGTTCGATCAATGAGAAAAGAGGCGAGTAAAATTCCGCCTGAACACGAGGGATGAGTATGTACAAAAATCGGGCTGGTGATGAACGACCACGCGGACGATAGAGATCGAGGAAGTACGTTATACAAAGGATGAACGAACATTTGGACCGGTTACGCGAGACGATCGACGAGATCGATGAATCTCCTTTTCTTTTCTTTTCTTCTGACTTCTTTCCTCTTTTTTTTTTTTTTTTTCCATTCGTTTAGTCGATCGTGACGTGCATACTGCACACGAAGCGTTTATATATATATTTATATATGTATACTTCTTTTTATATATATATAGATCTATGTATATATAATTCTGAATCGACGAAGGAGAATTATACAATTGTATAATTCTTTTGTCCTCACGGTTGGTGTTATACTTTCTCTCAGTGGCTATAATCGCGAACACACTCGACTTTTTTCCTTTTTTTTTTTTTCTTTTTTCAACTGTCGTAATAATATTATTTAAGAAATAGAACAAGGATATATTTATTTGTATATATATAATATATATGTATATATATCTATATATATATAATATGTATATCGGCTATCAATAATGTCATCTCTCTGTCAAACATTCGATAACATTGAACATCACATATTCTCCCTCTCTCCACTCATTCGCACTCGTCCCATCATCTTTAATTCTCCCTCTCTCCCCCCTCTCTCACCCCTCCGTCCCTTTTCGTCGATTCATTTTCTCCATCTTTGCTTGGTCTCTCGATCGAATTTTGGTAGTATCTCTAGGTTCTTCTTTCATCTTCTTCTTCCTTCTTCCGCAACCATTTCACGCGACAGCAATACTATAGAATATGAAGAAGTACAATAACAGCGAAGATTCTTAAAAATCGCACGTCTCGCGGGATCATCCGTGATGATCCATTTTTATCTATTTCTCCTGCGCTATCCTTTTTTCATCTTGCCCTCTTCTTCTTCGAGTTTCAGCTGAGAAAACAATCCTCGAGAACGAGAGCAGATTTCTTGCGCGATGAGATCCAATGGCTCATCGCGTTTCCTCCCTCTCTGCGCTTTCCTATTCCTTTCCTTTCTCCCCTGCTTGCGCTTCTACGCTTGCGAAACAGACAGTTTCATCGTACGAACATCAGGCAAACGAAAGTATCATGCTGGCTCTCACTCAGTCACTCACTCACGCACTCTTTCTCGCATTTGTTACTTTTTGTTTCGTCCTCGTGCACTCTTTACCTATCGCGCGATCGTCGAACCGATTGGAAAAATCGAAAAACAAACAGAAAAGAAGAGAGAGAAAAAAAAAAAACGAAGCGCAGCTCGTGTTCGCAAATGTTCATCAGCATCTTTGTTACATGCCACACCCACAGCCTCAGAAATTTACATAATACGATGTAGTTTTAATCGATACAATCCTTAACGCGTGTCTGTGTCAGTGTATCAGATGTATGTGTATAATATATATATATATATTCATTCATCTTTATACCTTCCTGTATTTATAGCGGCGGCCTCATGACCGCGTTACCTCGTGATATTAATAATAATAATAATAATAATAATAATAATGATAAAAATAATAAAAATAATAATAATCGTTCGTAGTAATACCGCTTATTACTTAACATTAGTAGTGCTCTCGCAATTACGGTGTTTCTTTCACCGTCTTAAAATATACATATACATGTATTATATTTATATTATATCGTATATATATTAATTTAGAATTGTGCAATGAAGGTTTAGAGCCATTAGTGCGACTACTGCTGCGGATGTGGTCGGACAAGTCGCTTCACCGTCTCTACTATACATCGATAACGTGGTGGGGTGCGGAGTGCGAATTCTTTTTTTTTTTTTTCTTTTTATATTTCTTCTTTTTTTTTTTTCTTTTTTCTTCAAATTTCTGCGTAATCTCGTTTCTCGACAAGACCGCGCCTTAAGCAGATGCTCGACGACGCAAACTTCCGTGGAAGTTTATATTCGGAGAGGCTCCCGTGTCTCAGCCACTAACACCTCTATACCCTTCTTGTCCTCAGTCTTCCGTTTCCCTCCCAATGTACATCATCGTGTCTTCCAACAAGTACGGCGTCGTTCTCGGCGCAGTAACGACCTAATCGAATGAAGTAAGAAAGGAAGAAAAAGAAAAAAAGAAAAGGAACAAAATAGAGCCAAGAATCCTATCATCCATTCCTCAATGCCCTACAACACATCTAGTCTTCCATCGATCATTTCCATTCAGCAAAAAATGAAAAGAAAACTCGGCAAGATAATTTCTACTATTTTTTTCCCTCGTCTCTGCTTCATCACTTCGGACACCGAGTCCCTCGCTCCCCGGCAATCGGGAGACGTCTACGCGTACAGCAGCCTCGGGGAAAGGATGGCAGCCTCCTGGACGGCGGCTGGACCACGGACACCCTGTTATACCCAGGAATCGCCGGCTGAGGCAGCGGTGGAATTCGGTGGTACGTTCACGGTCGCGGTGGCGGCCGAACCATCGGGGACACCAACGCCATCGGCCACCCACTGGCCAGCCGTTGGTGCACCGGCTGCGACGCCCACTCCCGAGCCGACGACCGGGCCCTGACCCTGCGCCTGGCCCACCCCCAGCTCATACTGCCGCTTCTTTTTCTTCTCCAAGTTAACTTGCGCGTAGAGCGGCTCACCGGGTTTCGGTTGCTGCAACACACACACAAGCCAACGGTTAGTTTAGAGCCCTGGCTCGTAGGGTAAGCCGGGGGTGGTGGATCGGTCGAGGGTGGGCCGTCACGTCGCTCGGGGAAATCGGGCCCAGTGAATATTTTTTTTTTTTTTTTTTTTTCCTCGCTCTCCTAGCTCGCATTACTTCCATGCCTCGTTCTTTTCTGTTATTAGCGATTCTTTCCTTTCCTTTTATTTTATTTTTGTCCCCTTTTTGTCTTGGTTTATTGTTTTTCTTTTTTTTTTTTTTCTTTCTTTGCAAAGTTGACCCTTTTGTTGTTACGATAAAAGAAACTATTAGAGACTATATTGATTTTTAGATTAGCGATATTATATACAGATAATTATTATTTTACTTAGTTCATTAGAGCTAGATATTACTATTTTTAAGGTTTAATGTATGTTGAAATATTTTGAACTTTTCTATCTTATTTGGTTTAGAATGATTTTTAGATTGTAAATCGATAGCTACCACTATGCGCAGATGATTTCTTTTCTTATTGAAAATTGCTTTCTTCTAAAATTTTGATAGGTGATCTTTGTCATGTATATATACACTCAATGATAACTATAATTCAATCTTCTGTAATCATATTTACATTCGAAAATTTATCATAGCTACAATAGTAGTAGTTTAACAAATCATTTTATATTACACTGTTCATAGTTTACCTTTCATTTTCGTAATTATAATATTTTTCGAATAACGTATATGCAACGTATATCAATATGTTTCTATTAAGTTAAATTGTAATTCAAAAATGCGTTCAAACGTTCGAGAATTGAACAAAATAAAAAATCAAATTTTCATTCATCTCGATCACAAAGGGTTAACTGATTTAACTGCGAGAACATTAAATTATAATTAGTTTTGCGCTACTTGCATCTTCAAAGGGCTTTTACACCTTATTTCTACGTGCTAAAAATGAACAAGGTGAGCCACTTGAAGACATTTTTTGATTCGCATCCCGCAACAAAAGTCCAACGTAACTCCATCTATCAAAAATCAACGATGCTGAGAAAGGAGAGCAGGTAAGAAAAAAGATTCTAAAATTCTAAAGAAAACAATCGTACTATGGCCAAAGAAACAAAAAGAAAAAAAAAGATGTAACAGCGATGCAACAGGTACTGTCAGATACTCTTTTATTATGTTCGATTAATTTGGATATAAATAGATTATAAATAAGTTCGTGCAATAGTCAACGTGTCACTATAAACCATGCTTCGAGGTGCGTCTAGCTTTTTTCTCGCGTACGATAAAATTCGCTTAATGAGTGTGTCCTATGTATGCGTTTGTGTAATACAAAAGGAAGAAAGGAAAGCTCTTCCTCGCATCGACGATACTTTTCAATTGAACGCGCTGCGTTTCGACGAGATCGAAATCGTGTCGTTTCGTGCCCGGAAAACGAAGAATACCCGTGACTAATTTTCTTTTTTGTGCCTTCGTTAATAACGTTACCCTGCTTGTTCGAACTGCGAGAAGAAAAAAAAAAAAAAAAAGAAAAAAGAAATCGTGCGTTATATCGAGACCGAACGCTCTATGTGTACATATAGATTACGTTTCTTTTTACGTTCTCTTATTACTTCTTTTCTCTCTCTCTCTCTCTCTCTCTCTTTCTTTTCTAAACATTACTCTTACTTACTATAATATTGGAGATAGACTCTGGATCACTTGGGTCAACGAGTCAAAATTAAGTCCTCTATAGAAACAGACTTGCCCTTGCGTAATGGAATGCTCGTGGAACAAGTGAATATATTGTCGCGCTACGTTCTACGGTAATCGTACCTTTAATCACTGTCAATTAGGCAGCTAACATATCAGCCTCCTCGCGTGCAATACTTTGTGCGCTTCTTCTCGTTTCATTTTTTTTTCCTTTTTTTTTTTTTTTTTGTAAATGTATATGTGTAACACCTCAACTGCGATGCTCCACTTACGATTGATTATCGGTTGAATCTCAGAAAGACATTGGCTTCGATTTCGCTGGGCAACGTGTCGCTGAATGGCTGAATGCGCTCCCTAATCGTTCAATAACGTGAAACACTTGGTCCTGTAATAACTAACCTCTTATACAATCGTAGAATTATGCGAGACACGTTTCAACACTAATAAACTTCTTTCTGTATGCACGTTCCTCTTTCTATTGCGCTACACGCGGGCATAAATAATAATCTTTCGCAAGAGGTTTCTCCCTACGTCGTTACGAACGGAATATCGCGAATCAGAGCTGTGAATTATACAAACGAATCGTTGTCCCTTGCGTTAAAATCGAATCGAAAAGGAATTTTTCTCCCTCCTTGAAAAATTCGTACGCGGTTCGCGGAATGGCCGTTCTATCGTTTAGGTATAAAAAGTTGAAAAGATAGCAAATATCAAAAGATTCGTTGAACGAAAGATCGTAGCGAGTTTAATGAATCGACTCGATGAAGCGTTCACGCATCGTCAAACGAACGAACAAACGAAATTCTACAAATGGTACCGAGTTACACTTTGCAAATCGATGTTACTCCTTCGATTTGCAATATCGTTGGCGTTATACATATTCATAATCGCATGCGTCGCGTACGATATAATATCCTTCCATGGATAACAAGGACGAGTTTTATCCAGTGTTTTTTTTTCTTTTTTTTTTATGTAAATGTATCGATTATTATGTAAAAATGCTAAATACTTGATAATTCCATGGACTGTTTTTACGGATGGTCGCCGTTAGTGCGAACCATTTCTCTCTATAATACTGTATACACACTATACGAATAATGCAGGTTCCATATAGCATGAAACACGATGAATATAATTGGTACTCATTAATTGACTTAGTTTATACACCTATGATAAATGTTAAGTAACTGCTTTCTCTCTTTCTTTTCTTTTCTTTCTTTTTTTTTTCTATCACAACTGTGTGAGGTGTATACATCACCGGTTGTCGCTTAGATTTTTTTTATTCTCTCGCGTTTTCTTTTTCCTTCCATGGATTTTCCGCTTTTGTTACAATGACGGTCATGTGTTTTTTTTTTTTTTTTTTTTTTTCTTTTAACTTTCC